ATGTTCCAAGATTATCATTCATTATAAAGAGCAAGACTAAAACATTTTATTTCCAGTTTTATCTGGAGCCAATATGAGTGGTTTGTTAGCTGCAACACCTGTGACTTTTGGGTATTTAAGTTACAAATTTCCTACTACATAATATCTATTAGTGTTAACCATTCCTTGCATTGGTCTGTCTTCCCTCCAAAAGTCAGATATAAGCTAGAGCAAGTGTTTTAGAAGAACCATACACTGGCTGTTAGTGGGCAGACTTGACAGTTGGGGATTGTAAATTCTATCTTCCCTTCCAAGGACAGGTGAATATGACCAGGGGTTGGCACCCTTTGCTTTAATATCCTGCTCTATAAAATGGGAATGATGCTGATGGTCCCCTGTGGTGCTCTGAGAGTGGAAGGTTACTAAAGTACTACTGTGAAATGCTCAGATTTGAAGTGTCACCCTGGAGCAATGTATTAAGAATTTGAGAATTGCGAAGTACAAGTCAGTTTAAAGGAAGAGTACCATCACAGATGTGACTCTTTTTATGGAAGGAACTTTAAATAAATATTGAGTCCTGAAGTGTAGTACTTACAGCTAGGTTATTGGTTTTTTAATATAAACACTATTTAATAACTATATTCAGTTGGATATTAGCAGTATTCAAACCTAAACAAAAGGATGCTAAAGCTATTATTTCATTCTTCTAAGAAACAGTGTAAGTTGGAATAATATATTACTTTACGTGATTTTGTGGGGTGCCTGGGTGGCTCAGTTGGTTAAAGCATCTGCCTTTGGCTCAGGTCATGATCCCAGAGTCCTGGGATCAAATCCCACATCGAGCCCCACGTCAGGCTCCCAGCTCAGTGGGGAGCCTGTTTTTCCCTCTTACCCCTTCATGCTCTCTCTCTCAAGTAAATAAAAAATTTTAAAAAGAGCCCCATAATTTTGTGGTACTTTTTTCAGTTGAGGGGCGCCTGGGTGGCTCAGTCAGTTAAGCATCTGCCTTTGGCTCAGGTCATGATCCCGGGATCCTGGGATCAAGCTCCATATCTGGCTCCCTGCTCAGTCTGTATAATGAGAGAGAGAGAGAGAGAGAGAAAGAGTGAGAGAGAGAATGGTAAACTAAGTGAGGAGAAAGTTTATAATTATATCAAAATAAGTATTTTTTCCAAAATAAGCTATATTAATTTGTAGGGTTTTCAAATTTTTTAAAAATTTTAATTTAAATTCCAGTTAGTTAACATACAGTGTAATATTAGTTTCAGGTGTGGAATTTAGTGATTCATCAGTTCACTATATTACCAGTGCTCATCACAAGTGCCCTCCTTAATGCCCATCACCCATTTAACCCATCCCCTCCAACCTCCCCTCCAGCAACCCTCAGTTTGTTCTCTATAAAAGGAGAGAGAGAAGTAAACCATTAAACAGACTCAATAGCAAGGAACTTTGTAAGTGAAAGAGTAAGGAGGGAGAGTCTGAGTCAGAGAAGTGTAACAGCAGAAGCAGAAGCTGGAGGGATGGGATTACTGGCTTTGAAAATGGAAGAAAGTCATGAGCCAAGAAATGTGAGCAGTCTCTCGAACTGGAAAGGATAAGTAAACATGTTTCTGTAGAAACTCCAGAGGAATGCAGCCCTGCAGAGACCTTGACCTTTGGCCCATAAACCCATTTCAGACCACTGATCTCCAGAATTGTAAGTGGTACTTTTGTATTGTAATAAGCCTCTAAGTTATTGATAATTGGTTATAGCAACAAGAAGAATCCAGTAAGTACATTCAAATACCAAAATTAGCATCTGGCTTGAAAATTATCCCAATTCATTTTTAATTCATAAGCTTTGGACTCTGGATAGCAGGTGTAGACATCTGGCCTCCTGGTGAAACTGCTATCAGTCAGTCTCTGCTGTGGTCTCTGAAAATACTGAATACTGGATTTTGTAAACATATTTTTACCTGAGCTCATTATCTTAAGAACTACGGATTGAATTGTTTTTCTAAATTGCACAGGTCTTGGGTCACTGCTATGAAGATCTAGTGTGTTCTTTTAAGGCTTTAGACTCTAAAAGTGAGGCTGCTGAGGAATTTGCAATTAAATTAATACCACTCCCAGGACCCCAGAGGAACCATACCTATTCAATAGGAGAGAAAGCCCAGGCAGAATGCAACTAATGTGAGTCCTAGTTCTATTCAGGAGTCAAGAAACTCTTGGCACTCTAAGCTAGATAAGAAATTGCATAATATTTTTGGGTTTTATGTAATTTAGGACTTTGAATACATGGCTTTTGATACTCAAGGTTTAAGCAAATGGACTTGAACATCAGTTCCTTTGATCTTTCAATTTTCATTTTCAAGGAGATTTATAATTTTTTCTCCTTCAGAACATCATAATAAGAGGGGACTTATATTTAAATTTGGTTCATCTCTATGTTATTTGCAGGTTGTTGTTGAAGTATCTATGGTTCTTCTTAATTTGGCCTTTTGTTTTCAGTTTTATGTAAGGCTTTCCTTAAAACAGCAAGAAAAACAGCTTGAGAATATACTTATAGAGAGAGTTCTGGACGATACCTGTAATCTGCCCTGTGCACTTGGCTAACTTAGGAAAGGGAGTGACTCCTGCCTCAAATGCGCACCATTATCAGAAGACAAATTTGGGTGGATTTGCATTTCTCTATTTGTAGAGGTCTCTATCTTTCACATGATAACTTAATAATTTCTTTTGTGAGTTCACACTGTGTAGACTGATTTGACAATTCACAGGCCTACATAAGTTATTATGATGCTACACACTCTCTAAAACAGTTTTCTTTTTTTTTTTAAGTGTATTTAGTGACACTTTCATTTCTTTTCAAGATATGTGTAGATAGCCAGTTATGTACCATGTATTCTCCTAGTTGGACAGCGAGGGAGGGAGGAGAGGAAAGGGAATACTCCCAGGTTTGAGGGCAACTTGGCCGTGGCATGGACTTAAATAGAATAGAGTTCTGATCCATGGTAGAGTGTGCTGGAAACGAAGTGTGGAGCATCCACCAGAATTCCCAAGAAGATCTTTGGGAAACAGGCTCTAGTATGGCTGCAGAAAATCATTGACTTACTGGTTGATAGATTGGCAAAAATAACTGGGTATTCAGAACTAAGCTATGTTTTTCTTCCTTTGGAGGGAAAGCCCACGCAGGGTTTTCTTCTTTGTCCACCCATGAAGTCTTACCGGGGTACCTTGCCACATCAGTTCTACTTCTGCAAAGTAGCCTACAGACAAAAACTTTTCCCAGCTGGTCTCTGTATAAAGGTGATACATCAGCCTCCATTTTAACTCTTTGTTTTATCCATCAGCTTTTTCAGACATGGACAAGGATGATTGTCATTTCTTCAGAAACTCCAACATGTTTTTACAGCAAAGACTGCAAGTTAAAATACAAATAATGTACAGTATTTTAAACCAGACCATAAAGGGTTAGAAAAGTGAGGGAGAATACACAGACATGTCCAGGCACACACACGTGTACACACATACACACACTTTCTGTCTCTCTCTCTCTCTTTCCTATTCTGAATGTGAATGGGTTTGTGCTGTGTTTTTTTAGGCATATTACTCCTTTGAGCCACTAAGCTTCAAAAAATTTACATGGTTACTGGAGAAAATGCTAAAGCTAGAACTTGCTTAGGAATATGATGGCAATCTCATCAGAGGGAGCCTCTTACAAAGGCCAGAAGCAAGACAAAATAAGTGGCAAAGTGCATTAAGGAACAAAAACAAACAAATAAACCAACCCTGGTGGGAAGTCACTAGAAAATGGGCTTACATTTTGAATCAGAGTAATTTCCTGGAAACATCATTCTCCCTGTTTAAGTACCGATGCCATAAGGTTCAGTGACAAAATCTTGAGCAATATAACAGGTTTTCTTATATTGGTTTCTTGATCCATGCTGACACATTTGCACAATATGATACCATAGTGTTAATGGAGAGTGCAGGGGGCAAAATCCATGTTAAGTGTTTTGCAGAGGGGAAACGGTCCACCTGTTAACACAGAAAAGTTGATGAACAAACACCCAGAGTACCAAAGAGGCGGAAACTCACGGAGAAAGTACAGCAGGCAACATGGATAGTCAGTTGCCTCATTTCTGCCATGAAAATTATCATTTCTCACTGCTGTGAAGGCAGCATGTTCTCACTGCTGTGAAGGCAGCATGTTCCCCAACTTACTCCAACTGGGAACAAAGTTGCAAATGTGCAGAGATGTGTGAGGTCAGGTCTGTGTCCCACTGAAGGTAAAAAGAAGATAAAATATGTGTTTTGGGAATTCAGGGTAAGGCTGATCTCGTTTCCCCAAAGTACAGTACTCTGAAGATCCTTGTGGCCCTGTCATGCGCTTTGTGCTCCGTGTGCTTCTCACTTAACAGAAGTCAATCCAGAACATTATATTATTGACCGAATTGAGCACCATGTGGCTGTGCTGTAGATTCCGAGAAGCGTAATGAGACACATTTAAAGCCTCTGAACATGTCCCTGTTCCTTGCATAATGTAAGAAGAGCTGGAGGCAGTGGCTACATAGTGTAATCATAACAAGAACAGATGGAAGCTAGACTTCCTGAGGTGAATCCTCTTGGCGTCACCCAGGCTGTGGTACAGCGGGTAAATTCGTACCTTATTTTCAATGGAAATAAGAGTAATTGTTCTTGTCTCATAGGGTGACTCTAAGGATGATGGGTTTAACAATCAGTCTTTGTCATAAGTGAGAGACTTCTCTGTTTGTTAAGTTAATTTTAAGAGTTTTTACTCTAGAGAGAATCCAGTGTTGCCTTCCAGGACCTTCTATGATCTGAAAACCTGGTTTAGTCCTCTCATATGTACTATCATAGTAGTTTATATTTCCCCTTTCATATATATATATATATATATATATATATATATATATATATATATATATATATTTTACTGTCAAAGTTTTATTTAATCATTTTTATTTACAACTGAAACTTGGGGGACTCAGAGTTAACATCCTTGCCTGTGAGCTTCTTGCTGTGCTTTATCCAAATGGACCTTGATGAGCCGACTACCATCCAGTTTCACATGAATTCTCTTGCCCACAGTTTGGCTTGGGAAAACCAAGTCCTTCAGGATCGCGGCATGCACAGCTGTCAAAGTGCGGCTCCTGGGATGCTTTTGCTTATTTTTTTATATGACTTTTTCAAGTTGGTTTAGGCAGAATTCTTCTCTGAGCGATAAAGGCAACGTGCTTCCCATTGAACTTTTTCTCCAATTCACGGACTTGCCGGACTTGGATTTTCTGGAAAGATTTCAGTTGAGGAACGGGAACAAAGATAGTAATAGCTTCCCGAACACCGCCAACTTCAGTTTCCTTGGATGCCGTGACACTCAGCTCCCTTACCTGGGCTCTGAGGTCGGAGCTCATCTCCAACTCTGGCAGAGCCTGGGAGATGCCGGACTCGAGCTCGTCCGGCTTCTCGCCATTGGGCTTCACGATCTTCAACCTCGAACTGAACATGGCCTTCTCCGTGGTGAGAGCGCCGGCCTAGGAAGAGCACATTTTTTTTTTTTAATCTTATAAGTTTTTATGTATCATTTACTCCTCAGTGGAGTATCAACTCCAGGACAGCAGAGATGTTATTTGTTGCTTGTTACTTAATGGCTAACATAGTGTGTGACATAGTTAAAAGAAAAAAAAAAAAGTTGTTCAATGACTGGTGGAAGAAAGATCCATAGTTCAGATTATGCCTGATATACAAAAGTGGCTGAAATAATACTTAGTAGACACTCAATTAAACTGAATTATGTAACCTCTAGGCCACCCAGGTAAAAGATCAAAAACCTACTAAATGCTTCCATGAGGATTACACAATGTGTTTGTTGTAGTCATGAATGTAACAGAACTGGAGCATAGTGCTGCCAGAGCATAGCTTGAGAGTGTACATAGAGAGTAGGTTCAGGATAATTCTCATTTTATTTATTTATTTGACAGACGGAGATCACAGTAGGCAGAAAGGCAGGCAGAGAGAGAGAGAGAGGAGGAAGCAGGCTCCCCGCGGAGCAGAGAGCCCGATGTGGGGCTCCATCCCAGGACCCTGGGATCATGACCTAAGCCGAAGGCAGAGGCTTTAACCACACTGAGCCACCAAGGCGCCCTGACTATTTTTAGTGTATAGGTCTATGAATTGAACACATATATATTCATCTAACCACCACTATAATCAGTATGGAGAATAGTCTGTCATCCAAAATACTCTTTCATGCTGTCCACTTGTATTCACACTGGTATGTAACTAGAGTTTTATCTTTATTATTCCACATAAATGGAATCATAGAATATGTGACCATCAGAGTCTACAATCCATACAATCCAAAATTGTTGCCTGAATCAGTGATTTACTCTTTTTATTGCTAAGAAGAATTGCTTTGAAGGGATTTATCACTGTTTGTTTATTCTCCCACTGAAGACAGTTTAGGTTGTTTCCAGTGTTGAATAATGATGAAAAAATAATTGTAGTGAATCTTTTTGGTACCACATATTCTTCTAGTTGAAAGAATATAGTGACAGGGCAGAAAAGTTTTAAAGCCCATTATTCTTAAAGTCTATTGAGAAGTTAATTATATTCAAAAATTTTCAAAAATTATAAAATCAAATGCGTGGCTTGAAGTTTTTTCTAGATGCCTAAGATTTTATTCCAGTGTATTTTGAAAGAATATAACCAAAGGTTGAATTGAGACTACGAGACATTCACTGTTTCTTAGTCTGAATTATGATTATATGCTAGTAAAACAGACAACCAAGGGGCACCTGAGTTGTGCAGTTGGTTAAGTGTCCAACTCTTGATTTTGGCTTAGGTGGTAATCTCAGAGTCATGAGGTCATGAGCTCATGAGGTCCAGCCCCACCTCCACTCTACACTCAGCACAGAAGCTGCTTAGGACTCTCTCTCCCTCTACCCTTCCCAGTAAAATAAATAAATAAATCCTTAAAAAAAAACATACAAAAGAGTTTGTATTTAAGATTATATTATACTGGGGGAACCTGACTGGCTCAGTGGATTAAGCCGTTGCCTTCGGCTCAGGTCATGATCTCAGGGTCCTGGGATCGAGCCCCACATTGGGCTCTCTGCTCAGCGGGGAGCCTGCTTTCCCTCTTTCTGACTGCCTCTCTGCCTACTTGTGATCTCTCTGTCAAATAAATAAATAAAATCTTAAAAAAGATTATATTATACTGAACTGATAAATCATTGAACATTATATCAAAAACCAGTGATGTACTGTCTCTTGGGCAATTGATTTTAAATAAATAAACAAACAAAATTGTATGTAGAGATTTTGCTTTGTTTTGTTCTGTTTTAAGATTATTGAGCATAATCCATCAGAATTTCAGAGGGGGGCCAGGGAACATGTGTTTTATTTACACCCTCCTAAGGGATTCTGATGAACACTTCAGGTTAAGATTGACTGCTCTGAATTTTTGAAATTAAAACCAGAACAATATTGGACAATACCTCACTTCAAAGAAGATGATACAACGTAGTTGATTAGTTTCCATATGTCATGTCATTGTAACCTGATTCTTGGTTAACTTCGAACTATTTCCTTTAAATATTGAAAATAAGACTATTACCTAGATGCCAGAGTTTTCATATTGAGCCCCCCCCCCCAAAAGTTATCGGTAATTCATAGTCAAATATGAAAGGCTTATTAAAGTTGATACTGGGAGGGACGCCTGGGTGGCTCAGTTGGTTGGACGACTGCCTTCGGCTCAGGTCATGATCCCGGGGTCCCTGGATCGAGTCCCACATCGGGCTCCCAGCTCCATGGGGAGTCTGCTTCTCCCTCTGACCTTCTCCTCGCTCATGCTCTCTCTCACTGTCTCTCTCTCAAATAAATAAATAAAATCTTTAAAAAAAAAGTTGATACTGGAAGAGACTGTCCTATTTAAATATATATGACAGCTGTGACTCAGTGTGGATCCCACAGTAAAATTGGAAGTAATGCACTGAGGACTTCCTTTGGCCCCAAAGGGAAGGTAGGTGGTGGATCAGTGCCAGCCCTCTTTTAGCACTTGCTGTTTTACAAGAGGCAAGCATACTTCCAATGTTCAGTCATCTCTCCTAGATTTCCTTTTCCCTATAATTCCAATTCTCATACCAAACTGACTGAGAAACTAAATCTAGTACATCAGGCCACATCTTTCAGTACTTTACTGTCAAGTGTGTCCTGTCTGTGCAATTCCCCTCACTTACTTAAGTCAAAGTATACACACATGTCTCCTGTCGCAGTTAAACATCTCTCCAGAAAAACTGACCTGTTTTCTTTTTTTTTACATGGCAATACGAGTTGCGCTATTTAATCTCTATATGTTTCACAAGAAATAAGTATATACTTAGACTAACATATCTGGCCCATCAGGTAGAACAGCCCAAAGGAATGACAGAGGTTGGTTACCTGAGGTATTAGAATCAGTTCACCAAAGAAATAAAGTAACAAGAATGAGTTTTATCATGATTTAAAGAATTGCTTCTTCCCTAAATAACAATATTTGTTGCTCAAACAGGATCACAGATGATTGATTGGTAGGTAGGAAATTCGTAGTTCTAAATTGGTACTATTTCCACTGAGCAATTTTGATGTAAAAAAACAGTAGCTGTGATAGAAGATAGAACAACAGGAGAAAACCAAAACAAAACCTTCAAATGGCTTTTATTTAACAAAACTGCTTTGGGGGCACCTGGGTGCCTCAGTGGTTTAAGACTTTGCCTTCTGCTCAGGACATGATCTTAGGGTCCTGGGATCAAGCTTCCCCCTCTGCCTCTGCCTGCCTCTCTGCCTACTTGTGATCTTTCTCTCTCCCTCTGTCAAATAAATAAATGAAATCTTAAAAGAAAAAAAAAAACTGCTTTTACTTACAAACACATGCCTACTGGTCTGGAATGGTTAATTCAGCTCGTGGAAAAAGTTTCTTATTTCCTTTCTTTCTTTTTTAAGTCTATGGATTTATTAAGAGTATTATCAGTGACTTTCTTAGGATAAATTCATTTTACAAAATGGCTTAGTATCTGTTCCCTTCGTTCATGGCTATGAGGTTAAGTAGGGATAAAGACAGACCTATTATTCACATGTTTTTAAAACCCTGAAATTTGAAGTTTAAGAAGAATGGGCCAATATGCTCCCTGGCTTATTGGAGAAGTAGTTATATAATTCATTTTTGCAGAATGCTTGACATTCTACCTGAGTTCATAAATGTTCATCCTTTTAGAAGGGGAAAACATCAAGTTTATACTGTCAAGGTTAAGGAAAGTGAATTCCTTTTACTTTAGGTCATAAGCTTCTTAAACAGGCTTTTAATTTGAGTTTCTTACAAAAGATTATCTGAGCTACTGGGAATTCTTTCTAAAAGACTTAATTATGTACTCATTTAGTAAAGAAGAGTTCCATCCTCTTTCTGACTTATAGTTCAATGAGGCTTTCTTTCTCTGGCTTTGTTTTCATAAATGCCTAACCAGGTTAAAATGTAAAAGTGCATTTGTTAATGACATTCACTATTGCCATTTATATTTAAATAGTGCTAGACAATTATGACATGATTTAGTTATTTCTTTTGAATATTAATGTTTCACAATGCTTGAATGCTTGTCCCATCCAAAGCTTCAAGTTTAGTTTAAAATTTTTTATAATGCAAATGCAGTTACACATTTAAAATCCCACTATCATAAACATAACTATTAGTTCCACTTTAAATGCCAAAAAGAGACGGAGCTTTAACAAGCTCTTTCAAACAATTTCATTCTAATATGAACAAAAAACTAAGAAGAGAGAGATGTGCTCCTAAATATATTTTATATTCTTTTTACAGAGGACTTTCTTTCCTCTTTATTCTTTTTCTTTTTTTTTTCCTGCTTCTTTCCTCATAAGTTTGTAGGAATTTAGCTTCATTGAGGCAGGTGGAAGAATGAGGTTTCCCTTTGGGCACGCTGAGCACTAGGAAGACCATTTCTCTTTACCACATCTGGGCAACCTAGATGTCTAATTAAATAAATGGCCAGACAAATAAGCACTTGTTAGTTTGGCATTTTTATGATATAAACAAGAAAAAGAAGTTGTTTTAAGCATATTTGAACAGATATAACTGTATTTTTATCTTCTGAGCAAAAAAAAAAAAAAAAAGTTACAGGAGATGTTATAAAATGTCAGAGTAAACATTCACAAGACAGGAGGTCCTAGACTAAGAACATAATAAACCAAGAGCCGACAATCAGACCAAACATACCACACAAGCATTACTTACCCGCTGAATCACATTGCACATTTGTGATGTTTCTATTCTAATAAAGCAAATAACTACCTTTTGAGTTTTTAAGTTTGTAGGGGAGTGTGGAGGATGTTCACTAAACATAGAGTAAGGATATGTTTGGATGGCTTTGATTGTTTTTGCTACTGAGTAGGTAAAGATTATAATAGCCTCCTATTTTGGCTTACAGTTGTGTACCTTTACGTTTTATTCATGCGTTTTTTTTCTCCCTATGTACTGATCAATCATTCTCT